TGCTGCTGCACCAGGATTTTCCATCACAGCCAATGGAAATATTACTGATCTCTCACCCAACTCACCAGAACCTTGGAAATGCATCTTTCAAAGTTGTTTGTTCCTCTGCTGCCATTGTCTGCCATAACTAGGTCATCTTGCTTCTGCTATTCCAAGTCAAGAAGTGGAGAGCCACTCCACTTCAAATCTTTTATTAACTAGGCTTACTACACACACATGTTCACATACAATAAACACTTCTATTAATAAAGATAATTCAGCATATTTTTTTTATTTTAAACAAGCTTGCCTCCATCCAGAATTGCATATCAGGATTGGTTGCATAAGATATAGTAGAATCTTAAAGGGCACCTATATCCCGATACAGTTTATAATGCATTGTTAAGTTACTTCTATTTCTGAGTTATCTGTGATTTATTAATGGTTAAGTAATTCCTATTTACACAGTAGATGATTTCTGGTGGAGCTGACACTAGTAGTATGTTTCTTCTGAATATCTAGTTATTTTTCTCTGTTACTTAGTTTTGTTTCCAGATATATCTCAATTGTGTGATATGAAACTCTATGTAATACCATGCATTTGCATACAATCATCCACAGCTTTGTTTTCCTGTGCTGCACAAGTAAGATACTGTAACTTGAACAACTGGAAATATCACAGTCCAACAGGATTCCCTAACATATCTGTAATACATCAAGCAATTGTTAGCTAGTCATTATTACAGCCTTCTCAAATGAAAGATCACCCATTATACTCATGGAGAAAATCCATCACTGCTTACTGCTAACTTTGTAAGTTCTTGACTTTCTTTTCTGCCTTCTGTCTGGACACAGAAACTGTTACTTTCATTGCTTTTCCCTGCTCTTCTGCTTGCCTCATTATTTTCTCTCACAATTCACATCTTCAGAGTTTTTATTAGATGCTGCAATTTCAGGCAAAGAACTGCAGTACATCAGAAATGTACAGGGGCGATGCTGAAAGACTGGTCTGGTTTTAGGCTGCACTTCCACTCTTGCTCTTAAGATGGTAGTGTAAACTTGGGTATGCATTCCAGGCACTTTCATCTTTGCCGTTGCTGAAATGACAGAATTTCTCTTCTGATCTCTGAGGTGGGAATTTCTTGAGAGCAAATCTTTATGAGAAGTAAGGTGATTTTTGTGAGCTGGAGCAAAAGATGTTTTTTATATTTTGAAGGTTTGAACATATATGTGATTCAGAAAGAATATATGGAACAAGACAGGGAGAAATATGCAGTGGAAAAATAAAAGCTTCTCAAATGGCCTGGAAGCTTGTGGCTCTGATGCTGTCCCTAACACAGGCAAGTCTTTGTGCTGAAATTGTGTCCAAGCAGAAGTGTAGGGTCAGTATGTATCTCTGGCATAGAAAACTTGGGTTGGCTACCTGCTAGCGAAGACAATGTGGCTAATCAGTGACTGTACAGTGATTTGAAGATGTGCTGAGCATCTAGTTATGCTATTTTATTTGTCTACCAGATGCTCAACATGGATTTGGGGGGCAAATTTGGAAGGCAAATGTAGAAGAGAATTTAAATTCATTGTAATAAGTAAGTTGATTTCCCTTTCTTCCCTTCCTCTTCAAAATCAGCTTCGTGTAATTCTTCTTGATACCATTTGTTACATTGCTGTGCTTAACAGAAACCTTGAAGTCTTTTTAGAAGATAAAAATTCTGAACTTCTACCATGTGCAGCTAATATAGTTTCTCTTTAGGTTTAACAGGAACCCTTACTTTTATGGTGTATATTTTATCTTTGTCTCCTGCAAATTGCAGTTCACGTTCTCATGGATTTTGTTAAAGACTAGGACTGCACTTTCACCTTTGCAGTAAATCTAAAATATCATGCAGCTCTTGCAATTCCCTCCCACCTCTAAAGAAACTGTAAGAGAAAAGCATAAAGAGAAAAAAGAACATGCACTCCCATCCTGATTTGTCACCAGATAAGCACATTGGATTCAATCCTGCATACCTTCAACACTCAAAATTCCCAAGAAGGTTAACAGGAGTTTTGTGACGACTTGGAATGTAAGGGTCAGGGCCATTAAGAAGGAAAAGAATCCATGCCATGTACTGTGCAAATTACGTCTGTCTCTGCATTAGCACTGAAATTACTTCTATAGTAGGCCAGGAACTAGCCATTTTGGGTTATGTTTAAAAGAAGGGAGGAACTGAAGAGGTGGCTTGGATGAAAAGAAAGCTGGAGATTATGTAGGAAATTTTCTTGTAGCCTTTTACCGTAATTTTTCTGTAATAATTTTTCCTTTTTAGGCATATTGCTGGTAAAGTCTAACTTAAATTCCAGGGTCACCGAAAGTCAGTTCTTTCATATTCAGATTTATGCTATTGTGGTGGGTTTTTTTTTAGTCTAGGCTGGCCTAAAACAAATGCATTGCACTATAAAAAAGCGTAGACTAGTGTCTCTGGCAAGGTCACGATCCCAAGTGGCTAAAGTAGCCTTCTTCTTCCATTGTATTTGTAGCAGGTAGATGAAAAGCGGAATTCCTTGGTTGTTGCTGCAGTATTTCCACATATCAGCTTATTTACACATTTTCTATCACTCTGCAAAGGGCAGCACATCCGAACTGTGCTATATGCAATATTGATAAATCCCCTAGAACCATGGAATGATTTAACTGCATAGAATCAACATTGTGCTATCATTGCTACTCTACTAATTTTTTGTTGTTAGCACTGTGGTGTGAGAACAAATTCAGCCAGGTTGTGCTTTGTATTTCATGCTTACATTGCTACTCATGATCTATGGATACAGGAGAGAAAGTGTGTGTAAGGAGATTTTGGCATCAGCTCTCATATTTGTTAGGTAGGGCCAAACTGGAATCAAAAGATTCCTGGAATCAGATCAGTCAGAATCAGCCCATCATAAACAAGAGAAGTCAAGACACACACCAGGAAAGGGCATTGTTGGCAGCCAGGATAAAAACCCTAATTGCAGTAGGAATCTGGAACAAGGAACAGGTAGAACTAGGATCATGTCAGGAGATAGGTAGGCCTTGCCAGTGTTATAGTATGACTTGGGAGCCATGGAAAGGGATACAAAGGGCTTCAAGCAGATATCAGGTATGTGATACATACACCAAAATTGTATATACTTACAATGCACCCCTCAACTACTAGGCCTTATCAGGTCCTATATATGAGTTTTCAAAAAACTGCTTATAGCTTCCTGCTAGATTGAAAGCCCAGCACTGCTTACAGTGTATGGCCATGATCTGATAAAGATATTTTGTTCTATGCAATAGTCTTACGTATTTCATCCATCTTTCATCTCTGAATTCTATTACCTTTGAAAATTTCCTCTATCTTAAATTACAAGAAAATACTCTTTTGCAGTATTAAGACTTTGTATCCATCCAAATGGGTAAAGGAAAACTATTGAGCCAGATTTACTGCAGTCTGAAGCTGTAATGAGAGTTGTAATAGACACCCCTCAACAGTGTGGGCAGTCCACCTGAGATACTGGTTTGCAGTTTGGTCAGCCTCTGTTGCCTTCATGTCTAACCGAGAACTCATTATGTGTCTGCTTGTACCTTAGAGCTGCCATCTGGGTGGCAGTAGCACTGCTGCCCAGAAAAGAATATGTCACTGCTTGTTTGTCCTGCTGATACCGGTCTTCTAGTGCTCTTACTCCTTGGGGAGGCACTAGAAAGTATTCTCTGCCTGGGAGAACAGCCCAGGAAAATAGAGATTGTGTTTGTCTATTATAGGCACTTAACACTTCAGTGTCTAAATACCTTTCTCAACTTTGAGTGTTTCTCCCCTCAAGAATGTTAGAAGGGATGTATTATTGATATTGCTAAAAACCCCTCATATTTTGCTCAGAATATCTACCTCTCAAAGTAGCAACTAATACATTTTTCCCATTATGACAGTTAACTTCCTCTTAAGTCTGTTCTTAGAACAGGACAATTTAGAGGGTCTTATATTTTCATATATGATTCCTCAAGTTTGCCTTAAAACATTGTGGTTTTGGGTTTGTTTTTTTTTTTCTGGGTAGTGACTTAGGTTTTTTATAGGATAGAATACATCAAGAGTTTACAAAAGTTTGGATGTGAGTCCTGGTTTGATAAGTCTGTTATTAAGTTACTTATCAAAGTCTGTTTGATAAGTAATTGTCTGTAATAAGTTTGATAACTCTAAGTAATCTGTAAATAAACCAGAAGTTTCAAAAAGATGGCTCAGCTGTATTACATTACCCACCTTACTCCCTTATCTACTGATTCTGCCTAGGAACAGGCACCCTGACCAAATCCTTTTCCACTTACTTCAAGAGTAAGAATGAAGGGACATTTCTGTTAATTCAAGATGCAAGAATATTAGGGAAAGAAGATTAGAAGCTAGGAGCCTGGTTTTTTGGTCCCATGTAGCTTCCAACTTCTTCACAAGGAGATGGATGTCTTTCCTCTTCATTTTGGTATTTTGCCTACTGCTTTGCAGACTCTCCCCCATGACCTTGATGGTGTTTTCTGTAGCAAAAACTAGCTCTTGTTAAATAGAAATTTTCATTTGTTTTCCTAAATAAGCTTTTCTGGAAGAAATATGAACAAATGTGAAGAAACGATGAGAGATTTTAGAACATTAAGGGAAAATTAAATATATGAAATTTACACATTAACCTACAGAAACTCTTCTTCCAACTTGTGATTTTGTTTGACGTAGAAAAGGTGGAGTCTATAATGATAATTTCCTTAATGGGATTTGCAGACAGTTGGGGTGGGAGGTGTGTCCTCCTCTATACTACCTTCCCAGAGCACAGTGTCTTTTAGGGCACGTTCCCACATGTTCACTCACCTTAAAGGTGTTTTGCCTGACTTGTTGAGCTGTCTATTTCAAAATTGCTTACATGTTGCTCTCTAGAGGAATTCGGAGATCCATAAGGAGGATGATTACTTCTGAGTTCTGAAATGAATACTAGAAACATTGGACATAAGGAGGATGATTACTTCAAAGTTCTGAAATGAAATACTAGAAGCTAGGACATGATGCTGTATGAATTCTTCTGGGCTGTATAGGGTCTTTGTGAGGGGTAGGCTGCCGGTGAGCTACTTCTAAATCAGACACACCTCTGGGTTGGGCTATTTTGGAAGCTAAGTACTTGATGAGGCTTAAGGTATGGTCTGCTAAGGACAAGGGATTTTATTCTGTGTTTTTACATGTACTTTGATGAAGTGATGCAGCTGAGGGACAGTCTCCTTTGTCAGTAGCAGACTAGGGCTCAGGAGTGCTGACTTGCAGTGAGCCTTCACTATCGTCTTTCAAAGTGTGGATTGTTGGCTTTAAGGCAGCTAGGTAAGAAAGAAAAAGGGACGTGCTATGGGGGTGCCTTTATTTGAGGATAGCAAACCCTTCTATTTCCGGATCTGGAATGGACTAAGTCAGAAGTTGCAAGGCAAAAAATCCTGGGATAAACATCTGGATGAAATCTACTTACTCCAGCAGAAAAGGTACAGTGCATTTCAGCCTTTTTGTCTTCCCTTTCTTCTGCTGCTCTCTCCCCGTAGCTGATTCTCAGTCTTTTCCCTTAGGCTTTTCTGCCAGTAGATAAACTTTAAACAACCCTGGAGCACTTTTCTGTATCAGATTTCTTCTTTCAAGGTGGAATGCTTCTGGAGTTCCAATCTTATCTGCTTTCACAGGTGGGTTTACTAGGTTGCAATTGAATTACCCTGAGCGCAGGACTTCAGTCACAAATGAATAATGTACTTTTGTCTTTCCTGCTTCATTGGTAAAGCTTACAAGAGAATGCAGAAGGGTTTCGTTTGGAGTTGTTTGTTGCTGTTGGCTTTGCTTGGGGTTTTTTTGCTTTTAATTAAGAGTGTGTGGGACATGTATTGCAGTCAGCTGAAATACTGGGTATGTTGCAACGATTGCTTTCTGTATGTCTAAAAAGCTGTCTTTACTATGGGATAGAGTGGACTTCATGTTGTTTCACATTCTGGTGGTCAGTCACTGCTTGGGTTGAACTGCTGTTTCTCGCCCCTGTAGCCTGGGTGTCAACATGTACAGTGACACCTCTTAGACCTTACATTGTCAAGAAGACTGCCTGTGCCGTCACATGTAAATATTGAATCTAGGCTGTTTGTTATTGCTGTGCAGGGTTGCTCCCTCCACACAGAGTAGTGCAGGGGCATTCATGGAAATCCAGCTGCATTTGTTTTTCATTGATGCTTGTTATTTCTGCATGGGCAAACACTGCAGCACTCAAATAACAAATTGCTTCCAGTCCCTGGTAAGATTTGTTTTTTCTTTCCTCACAAAACTCTGAACATCTCTGGGCACAAAAAGGTGGTTGTGTGGGAAAAAATTATCTATGTATACACACATACATGTATGGAAATAAGTAGGAAAGCACCTTAACAGGGACAAATATACACATATTTTTTAAGGAAAGAACTTACATCTGTCATCATCTAACTTCTAACCAAATAACAAAAGCCTCTTCTATTTTACTTTGGGGAAGTGGGACTTTAATGCACTTCAAATGGGAGGGGTAGTGGGAACAATAGTGTCTCCATAGAATGCTAACTAACAGCATCACAGATAACCGAAAAATAAGTTTTTAGCAGATTCTGTAATATCTGAATGAATGTGTGCAAAAGTCTAAATATATTAATATTTTTATAATTATAACATTATCTTCACATTTTTAAGTCATAGATATGTGGAAGGGGTATCTGGAGGTCCCTGTCTAACTTCCCACTTGAAGCAGGACTGTTGCCAGCAACAGATCGCATTGCTTTGGCTTTGTCTAGCTCAGTTCTGAAAGCCTCCCAGCACAGATATTCTACTATACCTTCAGATACCCATTACAGTGTTGTAGTAACCTCCTTCTGAAAAGGATTTTTTTTTTTTCCAAATGTCCATCCTGAGCCCCCAAAATCATCATTTGACACTGTAGCCCCTTGTTTTACCATGTGCTGTTACCATGAAGGGTTTATCATGGAATCGTAGAATAGTTAGGGTTGGAAGGGACCTTAAGATCATCAAGTTCCAACCCCCCTGCCACGGGCAGGGACACCTCACACTAAACCATGTCATGCAAGGCTCTGTCCAACCTGGCCTTTGAACACTGCCAGGGATGGAGCATTCACAACTTCCCTGGGCAGCGCATTCCAGTGCCTCACCAAGCTTGGCGCCTTCCTTTTCTGTGCTTCCTTTCAGATAGGCTGCTATTGAATTGCCATCCAACCTTTGCTTGACAGTCCTCATTAGTCATGTTCTGCAGGCCTACAAACATGTGTGTTGCTAATGATAGAGGAAAACAGAAAAACTGTTAGGCATATAGACCCTTCTCAGTAAACTTCTCTTAGAGAAGTTTGGTGCAACCCCAGTGCTCCTCAAAACTAACATTTCTCTGTTTCTTTATAAAACTCCATGTAACAGTACATGTACTGCATACAATATCATTGTGAAATCTGGGTTGCATGGGGACACAACTGTTCCCTACTGGTTTAGGTCTATGCTTCCCACAGCTTTCAACTAACGTTAATTAGTTGTCTGGTAGTTGGTCAGAAATTATATAGTGCCAATATATGAATTCTCTTTTCCAGAGTGGGATAGGCCCATTTCTCCCTCTTATTATCCTACTCTTTCCTTTCCTTTCTTGTCCCTAGAGATACTCAGAGTTTGAGGAGAAAAAAAATGAAAATTTTGCAGAAGACTGGAATTAGTTTTATTGACTTCATGCTCTTAATTATGTACAAGAGGAATACATACCAGGAAAACGTATATGGTGACTTGTATATGGGAAATACTCTTACGAAACCTTTGCTTCTGTGGAAAAACTATTGTAAGACAAGAGGACTTTTTTATTTCATTCTGTTAAGTTGTTGTGTGGAATTGCAGTGTTGTGGCTTCAGCTTGAGTTCTTCTCAGTGTTAATGGTGCTGGACTATATACAGTAATAAACAGCAATTAAATTCTACTATTACCTTATTGAAAGGTAGTGGTAAATATGTTACTACTTAGTAATTGGTTTGCTCTGACTACACACAGAAAGTCTGCAAGAGAACAATGCTTTTTCCTATCCTACAGGTGGTGATGGTTATACCTGGAAGCTAACTCCTTTTGTTATTCTCACCTTCACTAGAGTTGCTGTTCATTCTCTTTCTTCATGTGTAATACTTCTTTGAATTTTATTAGCAGTTGGTCTCATAAGTAAAGAGGACTTTGAGTTTATTTTGCCTTACTCTGCTAGTTTCTTTCTGTTCCAAACTCTTGTTTAAAGCAGCCTGTAGGTCAGTGCAGAGTGCCAGAGACAGTGGTCACATCTCATGTGTCTTTTCTAGTAGTATCTTTAAGCATAAACTCTGAGATCTATACAGCCTAGAGAATACAAACGTAAAATCCCAACATAGCTCATAATCATGGGGAACAAAGTGATAAATATGTATGAAAATCCTGGTCTGACATGGGAGCAGGAATCACATGGCTGTCACAGTCTAATAGATCCTCTGTAAGAGTTGTTGCTTCCTTTCTGTAAGTCTGGCCTTCAGAGGAAGAGGTTTATCTCCTTAGCATCTAATTTTATAAATTCTACCATATGAGAACAGCACTTTTCATAGAAAATAACTAATTAGGAAGTTAGAGCAAGTAGGTATATGGATCAGGAGACAATTACATTATATTTGTCTTTCTGCTATTGCCTGCCTTTATAACCTTGATTGATAAATAATCTATATTTTGTGTGTCTCCTCTCTCCCAGTTGCTGCTAGGGATTACTGGTATCACGTGGCCTTCATGTCATGTTCTGAGGCTTAATTGTTCTAATGACAGTAAAACATTTGAGTGGTACATCAATAAAAATAAAACCAAAGCATTTTTGCACATCAATTAACAATAAAAAACTGCTTTGAGAAATAATGCACTGGAAGTGCTTGAGGAAGATCTGCATAACCTGCAAAAAGCTCTGGTCATTCAAAAAATGTTGCAATACAAACTTCAGGTCCCTGTTAGTTTCCAGGTTTTTTGTGCCTTTTTACTCTCCAGTTCTAGTTGACATTATTCTTGAATGGTCTCAGATGCAGAATTAAAAAAATGAGATTAATGCAAGGAGATGGAAGAGACTGAGCAAGATTTCTGTTGCTTAGTGTGGTAGATAGCTAAAGGGGAAAGAGATAATACTTCCCTATCAGTTTCTTGTTGGTAATGAGTAACCTGTTAATTTCCAGAGGAGCTCTGTTTACCGTGAAGGAGCTTCAATATACAAGAGGTTCCAGGTAATTTGCTGAGTCTTTCTGTCAGTGCTGAAGAAATTTGCTGACCCTGATTGTCCAAGCCCCCTTACTTGTCTTCTTTTTACTTCATGCTATTAATTCCTAACTCATTCTTTAGCATCTTGTTAGATGATTGCTTTGATCCTCTTTTTGGCTCGTTAGCTTCCTTTGAGCACTCCTCTGCTCTCCTGATGTCTAGCACACATTTACATAAATATACTAGCAAAAGGGAGGGAGAAGATGGTGATTTCATGATGAGGTATTGAGCATAGATATTCTGAACACTGTAACAGGGAAAGAAAAGAAAGCTGAAATAATACCCTGATGATGAGTTTATAACTCACACAGAAAGAATTGCATTATACCCTTGGTAACTGTCGTAGCCATAGGGATAGATCATGAAGCTAGCAGATGCCGAACTTAAACTAGAGCAAACAATAGGAAAATACCCTACTGTGAATGACTCAAGTAGTAGAATGTGGGAAGGGAAGGAAAGAAGAGAAAGAGATGCTCTGTTACATCTCTGGTGAGCTCAGTATTAGAAAAGAAGCTTCAGATTGGTTTTGTCCAGGCAGTTCACATATTTAACATATTTCCTTGTTTTAAAAGAATAATCCCATAAATCCAAATTCTGGTTTTTTTGTAACAGTTAGGACTTATGGACTTGTCATTGCATTCTTTAGCTTGTCAAAAGAGTCGGATGCACTCCAAAGGAAGTGCTTATGAAGCTGTAAATCCAAAAGGGTACATATTACCAGCAGAAAGTGCTTGTGAAATCCTTAACCTTGTTTAAAACTGTTTTACATGACTCCTTCAGTCAGAATCTGACCTACATTCTAACTTCTCTTTGTTTCACAATGGATTTTGGGGTGTTCCTGATTTTGTCCTCATCTATATTGAAAAACAGTTCACAGCTTCCTGAGCATATCATTGAATCACCTGTTAAGAATACTGGCTGACAGTAATGCATGATCAAGGTTTACTAAGTGCCCCAACATAGCTATATTACTTAGCTCAGTAAGAAGATCCCAGAAGCACTTCTGGGTAAATGGTGTTGTGGTTTTCATAGCTCATGAGGACTACTGGTTAGCTATGTAGCTGTGCTTATCCTAAACTGATCCTGTAAGGCAATGTCAGTACTACCTAGTGTTACCAGACCTAACTTACCTGGCTAAATTAGTAATTTAGTGTCCCTTGACTCCATAGCTGAAGAAAGGAATGATTTAGAACCAGAACTTAACTTAGGTGTGCTGAATTCTCTTCTCAAAGCATCTAAATAGGTCTCAGCTGAATAACTCTCTGAAAGCCACACTCTCCAGTGACACGATGGCATGTTGCGGAAATGAAGCATCTACTGTAGGCAGCTCTGTTAAGAGACTAAGTTACAGATTTTACCTGCTGCTGCTTTGATGCACAGGAATTAGAGTTGTAAAAGGCAAAATTTATGCTGTGTTTGATGGGTCAAGAATAAAATTGGTTAAATGTCCACATCTTAATGAAATTAAAATATTTTGAAGGATCTAGATTCAGATGACTTTTTAACTTTTTTTTTTATGTCAGTGACTTTTTCTCACTTAGTAGTTAACATTTATATGCTCAGTACATGTAAGGTATTAAAAATGAGTTTATAATTATAATGGTGTGTTTTTAATGAGAGTAAAAGGTTTCCGCAATCATGGGACAGAAAATTAAATGAGAGTAAAAGCATATGATATAATCACGTAAGTCATGGCCCCTTAAGGCATCAGAGGCAGTGTGCCATGACATTCATCAACGCTTCTGGGATCTTTACCAGCTTGCTGACCAGTTGGAGGTCCCTATAGTAAGTAGAAAGGCTTGACAATTTTGTCCTATATTTCTAATAGCCATGAATGGTAGTTATTAGGTGTCTCCCTCTTAGTGGGTTTGTAAGTTACTTAGCTGTTTACAAGGGCTTTGGAGAATTTTGTGAGAAAGGTATTTTGTTTGTGTCCTCCCACACTGTCTCTTACCCAATCAATCCTCTCTCTGAGGTCATTTGAGGGATAAAGGCCTTCCACATAAAGCATCAACATATTAATTATAGCATTGTTTATACAATTGAAACCCCACCTCCTTCCCACTTCCTGCCTTCTGAACCCTGACATTCTCCAGGAAGTCAATTTCTTTCTCAGCCAGAATAATGGCAGAGGTGGCAACCTGCTTCTCCGATATTGAATCTTACAACTTTTGCTCAGAGCTACACTTTATTTTGTTCCTGTTTGTCTGATCCTAGATGCAATGTCCTTATCGAATCATCTTGTAATTAGCAACTAATGCAGCTGACACGTGAATAAGATAAAGAAAGAATTCTTCCCAAACAGCAAGGCAAAGAGTTCCAAGGACACATAAAAATACCTTAGAACAGTTCCCTTGTTTGTTCAGGATGTTTCTTTATATTCTGAATGGTTTTATTTCTCCTTTGTTCATTAGTGTTTTTCTAGTCTAATTTCTAGTGACTTAGATAACTGGGTGCTGTTGGTGACAGGAAATGCTCTTTTTTATGTAATGATAAATATAATATTTAGTTACTTTTATTGCTTGTAGCCCATGCCCATTAATTTAAACCTTATTCAGATGATTCCTATTTATCCATGTGATTCTGATATTTTGTTCCTTTTGCTTTATCTCCCACGTTTTCTCAAGTGAGTCAGTATCTTTCTGATATAAAATGCACAGAGTTTGCACATTTCATGTAGATAAAATCTGGAAACAATGGCATATAAAATAATTTTTCTTTCTCAAAGATTCTGTTGTTCATAAAAGACTAACTTAAATCATAAAAGACTAACTTAAATCAAGAAATACATCTTTCTGTGAGCCACAGAATCTATGCACCTGCTTTCCTATAGTTTTATGGCTAAATTACCCTATACCTAACAGGCACAAGTTCTGAGAAAACATTTTGTGCAATAGGCCATTTATATTCTCTCTGCCTCTTTCCCTGGTGTGGGTTTGCTTGTGGCTTATGGCAGTTACTTTCATAGATAACATATTCTAACATCAGGCTCATTAATAATGCAAAATGCCTATTGCTTTGTATAGTATATGCCCTATAAACTAAAACTAAATGTCATAAAAAAATCTTGTAACTAAATAATACCATAGTACAAGGAGAAAAAATCTGAGACGTCACAAGGAGAAAACATTGACTATATCTCCAGGTATATGGTTGGACTAATGTATTTGTCCCACGTGCTTTTACGTGTTCGTATGTGTGTGAGACCAACATCCAGTCCATTGGCAGCTGTTATACTGTACTGAAAGGACAGACTGGGGCTGATAGCAAAAGAAGGGTTGATCTTCTCCTCATTCGTGTCTGCTTGAATTTGTCATTGTTCTACTGTGTTTCTTAGACTGGTGCCACATCACAGATTACAGCATGGCCTGAGCCATACTAGATAATTAAGAACAAATTAAACATCTGCATTGCAAGAAAGCAGAGGTGAGGGAGTATAAAATTTGTACCTGAACAGAGATCTAAAACTGAATTTACCTTATTTTGAGACAGGAATCTCTTTCTGTTTCATACTAGAAATTCATCAGAGGAAGGCTGTTTCTTTGGGTTTGAGGGTGTTCTTAAATATTTAGTTCCTGAACTTGGGCTATTTAGAATGATTTAGTCATATAAAAACAAAAATACAAAAACCACCCAAGGCATGTTTTAGAAATAAAAGATAAATCTGAACATTTTCAAGGATAACATAAACGTTTACCCCAAATAAGTAGATTGGTTTTTGTGACTTTTTTGAGTGGCCAACTCAGTATTTTGAACATTGGTAAAGCTTATTGGGATGCTGACAAGCAGGTGTCGCAGGTAACTCTTTGCACCATCCCTTCAGGTACTTACATTGACAAGAATGGCTCCTTCTCCAGGCTAACCAGTCTCAGTTCTCTCAGCCTTTCCACATATGACAGATGCTGTAGTCCTATAATCATCTTGGGGCCCTTTTGCTGACCTATCATCAGTAGGTCAGTATGTCCTTTGTACTGAGGATCCTAGAACTGGACAAGGGCTTTAGGTATGGCCTTATCAGAGCTAAACAGAGGGGGAGGATCACTTCCCTTCACCTGCTGTTTGCATCAAGGGATCCTGCTGTAGTGAAGTTTGGTGACTGTACTTGTAAATTCTTCATCAGCTCTAAAGGATCTGTGAAGTAACCCAGAGACTCGGGGAAGACTCAAGGGCATTCTTCAACTATAAGTAAACCATTCAGCCTGGCACTTGCTTGATGGCATGCCCAGGACTGGCATACATTTCAGTTCTCAATAATTTCTTGTGTTATCTCAGCATAAGAGAAAAAACATAGTGTTACTGAGCTTCCAAATTTTTCTTCATAACTTTCTATGATGAGGAACTACATTCAGAACTTATTCTTTTAATTATACAGTTAAAACATTGTTATGATACAGAGTGAATGCTTGTTGGCACTTTTTCTTTTCTGTCCATTATTGGACTAATTCAGATGCTGTGTGAAAAATCTACTGGCTTTTACTGGCTCCTGAGATGACCAGTCTACTGTCAGGAGGGTTATCATATAGTCATGGAATAGTTAGGGTTTGAAAGGACCTTAAGATCATCCAGTTCCAACCCCCCTGCCATGGGCAGGGACACCTCACACTAAACCATGGCACCCAAGGCTCTGTCCAACCTGGCCTTGAACACCACCAGGGATGGAGCATTCACAGCTTCCTTGGGCAACCCATTCCAGTGCCTCACCACCCTCACAGGAAATAATTTCCTCCTTATATCCAGTCTGAACTTCTCCTGTTTAAGTTTTAACCTGCTACCCCTTGTCCAATCACTACATTGCCTAATGAAGAGTCCCTCCCCAGCATCCCTATAGGCCCCTTTCAGATACTGGAAGGCTGCCATGAGGTCTCCATGCAGCTTCTCTTCTCCAGGCTGAACAGCCCCAACTTTCTCAGCCCGTCTTCATATGGGAGGTGCTCCAGCCCTTGATTATCCTTGTGTCCCTTCTCTGGACTTGTTCCAACAGTTCCATGTCCTGTTGAGGACACCAGAACTGTATGCAATATTTCAAGTGAGCTCTATGACCCATCATTTGTTACTTTCTGTACCCCAACATGTAGGGTATATAAACCAGGAACATTTTGAAGCTGGTTATTCATTTCTCCTGTCTTTCCCTTTGCTGCCACCATATGGTTAAGTGTCAGTAAGTCAAAAGATAATGAACTGCCTGGGTTTCTAGAACTACACTTGCTTGTGACAGGGTTTTTTGCATTCAAAAAATACCTCGCATGGTAGGTTTGCATTACTGATCTTTCAGTGAAAATGCTGAAGATACATACTGTCTCGGGCAAAGAACATGATAGCGCTGGAGAAAGGCAGCATGTATTTAACTCTATTCCTTATCAGCCGCTTTTTCTTGACTATAGGATCTGGGAATCCCCACTTCTCCAGGCTGCCAAAGAGAACAACCTCCCAGCCATTAGGAAACTTCTCACTGATGGAACATGTGATATCTATCAGAGAGGTAACTCAATTATTTGTGACAAATGGTTTTCTGTGCAAGCAACACTCTGTTACAACTAGTAGAATAGTACATTTGTTAGTTTGCTAAAACATTCCCCTTAGGAAACTCAAACTACTTAACTCTGTGTTAGCAGCTTTGCAACAGAGTGAGTTTTCTGACTTGGAGAGCTCATCAGACCTTAGAAGAATGGGAAGATTAGAGGTTTACAGCTTGAACGGGCCTTTTTTGTGGAAGCACTGTGTGCTCATCCACTTCATGCCTCAGACTGCTGTCACTTACAAACATGAAGTCTCTGTTCAGCTTTTAGATTTTGGTGGAGTGAAGGACAGAGACTGTAGTTTTGAGGCTGTTACCATGTCATATGTTGAGGTGACATCTGGCAGTAGTAAAGGAGGGACTAGCACTCCCACAGTTCTCAACCCCAATATATGAATTTCTCTTTTGTCATATATAGTTGACTGTCTAGAATGACTCGCATGCTTCTCCTACTGTTTCTAGGTGCAGTGGGGGAAACTGCCCTTCACGTAGCTGCCTTGTATGATAACATGGAGGCAGCAGTGGCTCTGATGGAAGCAGCTCCTGAGCTTATCAATGAGAGGATGACATCAGAGCTCTATGAAGGTGACATCTTAGGGAATGAAGATGGGCAGGATTCCCTGTGGGGGGAGAGAGGAAGTACTACCTGTACTTTTAAGGAAGCAGCTTATACTGTTCCTGGTTCAATACAGTGCTGAACTGTTACAAAGCAAAGCCAACATACAAATGGCTCCTGACCATTTGTGGAAGGTGGAATTATATTAAACCCAAGTATGCACATGTACAAACATGCAAATTGGTAACTGCCAAACCCTTAACCACATATGGGCCTGTTTGCGACAGCAGGATTGCAAGGAAATGTACACTTGACTTTCTAGCATACTCATTTGTAACAGAAGGCACCTCTACCCATCTCTGAAAGAAGGAAAACTAGGTTTTTGGTTGACGAAGAACAGGATTGAAAAAAATGTGGCCACTGCTTTTGAGTCTTATCTGAGCCAGGTTTTTAAAGGATGGTTCTGATTGACTACTCAGAAAGGCCAGACAGAATCTTGAAACCACTAGAATAATAATGACGGGGCTTTAAAACTTTTAATACTGTCGTGGTTTAACCCCAGCCAGACAGCTAGTTCACTCACTCCCCCCTTCTTGCCCTCTCCCTATTCCCGGAGGGACAGAGAGGAGGATCAAAAAGAATGCAACTCCCACGGGTTGAGATAAGAACAGTTTAGTAACTAAGGTATAACACAAATCACTACTGCTACCACCAATAATAGTAATGATAAAGGAAATAACAAGGGAAGAGAATACAACACCTCAGTACCAGGTGACCGATAACTCGCCCCCCCAGCCCGACCAAGCACTGACCGATACCTCCTCCAACCCTGCAGTCCCTTTAGCCCTTCCGGGTAACTCCCACTTACCTCCTGGGCATGACATGCTGTGGTATGGAATACCTCTTTGGTCAGTTTGGGTCAGGTGTCCTGTCTGTGCTTCTTCCCAGCTTCCCTCCTCACTGGCAGAGCATGAGGCTCACAAAGTCCTTGGCCAAACCAAAACATCATTTTTATCAGCTCTGTTCCCAGCCCGAAAGTCAAAACACAGCACTGCACCAGCTACCAAGAAAGAGAAAAATGACTGCTACTGCTAAACCCAGGACAAATACCTAGTTTGAATGATTTAAAATAAGTCTACTTTGGGAGATTTGCCTTGACCTGGTCTTTGTGTCCCATGAAGGGAAGCATAATCAGTCACACAGATTTCAGTGTTATTCCTGGAAAAGTTTAGCACATCTTGTTTTCCCCCAGCAAAAATCTAGAAGGTACATCCTGTTGGCATTTTTTTGACAAGTTGTAAAGTCAGTTTTCATGAATTCATAAGAAGAGTTACGTAGAGTGGGATCCCTGGAAAAGCTGTAGGCCAGCCCCTCGTGCACAACAGGGATAACTTCAAAGCTAAATAATGCAGCTATTATGGGTGCAGTCCCAAACCCCTTAGATTTTCCATGAGTGAAATGTGAACTGCAGGCTACTGATCAGCCTGAAGCTGCTTTCCTGGAAGACAAGGTTTTATTTCTGTGTCTTACAGGCCAGACAGCTCTCCACATTGCAGCAGTGAACCAAAACATCATCTTGGTGAAGGCTTTACTCAAGAGAGGAGCTAATGCCTGCACGGCACGGGCTACTGGGCACTTCTTCAGGCGCAGATCCCAGAATCTTTTCTATTTTGGTACAGTCTCATTTTCTCTGCTTGCTGCTATGGAAGGGAACCAGCAGAGTGATGAGGGAACATATGGGGGGCTTGCTTTAGTCCCCATCTAAACTGGTCGAGTAGAGACTCATGTCTCCATGTGTCATCAATCACACATCTTTTAGCACACAGTAATGCTCGACCTGAGTATGTAAATACTACAGAAATATAAATTTATAAATCATGCAGATTTACAAATATACAGAATATTTGCATGTATACAAAAATATGTATAGCATTAAAATAATTTAATTTCATCCTAGCAGCATATAGGCACTTACTTGTCAACCTTCTTGTGAAGGTAATCTTCTGAAAAGAGCACCTCTTTCTTTTAGTGCTGGGGGGGGGAAGGCTTCCTTTCCTTTCTGAATAGAATGAGGAGTGTGGCAGGAAATTTACAGGTTACCTGAGGTAACTCTTTGTTTCATGTCCTCTAGCTTGGTAGCATGGATAGCTTTCCCTCATGGTACTTTAACCTCTTCTGCCTCCTGGAGTCATAATGCTGTTTCTCCCCATTCCTTTCTTTGCAGGAGAGCATGTTTTATCATTTGCTGCTTGTGTGGGAAATGAGGAAATTGTACAGTTGCTCATTGAAAATGGAGCTGATATTAGAGCTCAAGATTACCTGGGTATGTGCTGTGGGGCCTACTGAATTGAACACAGTGTATACGGATGTTTTAAATCAGATTCTGTTGTCTGTGCACGCACATATTTTTCTCTCATTACAAATGGCTGAGGGATGAGGGATGTGAGAAAAATTAAAGCCATTAGTCAATTGCCAGTCTTTGCACAGGGCTGGGCAATTCTACATATTTTATCTGGTCTGCTTCCTTCATAGGTAATACTGTTCTTCACATCCTGGTTCTCCAACCTAATAAGACGTTTGCCTGCCACATGTACAGCCTGATACTCTCCTATGATAGGAACAAAGAGGGACCAGGGTCACTTGAATTGATTCCTAACAATGAGGGGCTAACTCCATTCAAACTGGCTGGAGTTGAGGGTAATACTGTGGTGAGTTTCTGTGACACAGATGCTTCCATATAAAAGATAAATGGAGAACTTGAAATAACATTGTCCAGACCAAGGGAGTTTGCACATGTTTTTAGGAGGTAGAAGACACATAACAAATCCTTTATAAGAAAATCCTTCATAAGAAATTTCTTTAGCCTAATGAAAGAAATGAGTGCTTAAAGAATAACTCTTCTGACCCAATTTTTGAAGCATTTGAGTTGAAAAGGTGTTAACATAAAGATATACACACCCTCCATTAATGTTTTTGAAAGCCTAGCTAAAATTATTATCTTTGTCGAGATTTCATTACCCTAAATGTGACACATGGAAAACTTCCTCAGGTACCCACAGACATTTGTTAATGAACAAGAACTCAGTATTTAATGTAAACTCTCATCCTTTCCCTTAACAAAAAGACAGAGGTGTTTAGTGTTACTTCTGTAGCTCTATAAAGGACAGGATCACTTCCCTTGCAACACCTCTTTCCTGATAACTTGTGGAAAAGTATAAAAGGGTATTTTTTTTCCTAATCAACGTATAATTCCATGTGAAATCTATTGTCAGGATGTATAACTGTGTTAAATAACATTAACAGTTTGATTAGAATTTAAAGTAAAAAAACCACTCATCCTTTACCTCAAGCATGAGCTAATAATCAAACGGGAATCAGAAAAAGTTCTTCAACTTCTTAACCTGATGTAATTGTTCCTGAGAGATATGAGAACTGCCGCAGCTGCCAAGTTCAAGGCAAATCCATTGTAATTAATATTTTTTAACAAGTTTGTTCTCATTGCAAATACGCTATATACTGGAAAGTTCCCGGTATCCTCAAACTCCTTCTTTTCTCCTCAGATGTTTCAATACCTTATGCAGAAGAGGAAGCACAATCTTTGGTCCTTTGGCCCCTTGACCACTGTTCTCTATGATCTCACAGAGATTGACTCCTGGGCTGAAGATCAGTCCTTCCTTGAGCTCATTGTCTCAACCAAGAAGAGAGAGGTACTGTGGGTACCACATGCTTTTGGTGTACAGACCATGGTGATTATAGAAGAATGATGAGTTTGAAGATTCAAGCTCTTTTACAGTATCCAAGAGCAAGGACTTTGTACCATGTGCTGCAGGGAATACATAAAATGTATTAATGCTTATCAATGACTTAGCTACATCAGATGTATATACATGTGATTAATATACAGTTTCTTCTGAGGTGTGAAACTTGATGATTGAAAGAATTTAGCATGAGCAAGCTACAGGAAATGACATTGTGTGATTCAGTAAATGGTTCTGTCTTTCAGCAGGCTCAAATGTGTATCAGTGACAATACCTCTACAGTAGCTCTAGCAAGTAGCTTTCTGTAACTGTGATTCTGATTAACTCACAATGTCCCTGTGAGACATGATTGTGTTCAGAAATCCTAAACTTGAGTGCATTTTAAAACCATTCATTCTCTTCATTTAATGACGTTAGGCAAATCATCTCTGCTGCAGGCTTCAACACTTGTAAAGGTATTATTAAAAATTAAAGTAGCAAATGTAATGGCAAGCTTAGGCAGACCTCTAAGACTTTCAAGGGACACCACCCTATCAGTTTTAATTACCTTAAATAATACTAATAGGACAGGAAATGAACAAGAAGACATTTTAATTAGTACAATCCTCCCCATCCTGTATTTTTTCCATCTATCAAATCTTTTTTACTTATATGCATTTTTACTTTATTTATAAACAAATGCTGTTATGGCAGTTAATTCCTTCTTTCTGTCTTCCTCAGGCACGCCAAATCTTGGACCTAACACCTGTGAAGGAGCTGGTGAGCCTGAAGTGGAATATGTATGGCCGTCCCTATTTCTGTTTCCTGGCTTTATTCTATATACTCTACATGGTCTGCTTCACTATGTGCTGCGTCTACCGACCTCTGAAACCCCGAACAGGCAACAAAACAAGCAGCAGAGACAATACAATCTATGTCCAGAAAATGCTGCAGGTACTGTGTCTATAGGAGACAGGGCCCCATAGGCAACATTGGGCAATTCTCATCTAACCTACTAAACTGGAAAGTCCAAGTCTTTCCCAGTTCCCAGCTATTGCAGCTTTCCTTCTTTCTGCCAGCTGACCTTTGTCAGTGGGAAATATGGTGCACTCTCTGTTCTCAGTTGCTGGACCTGGTCTGGTTCCTGTGGCCTGGTCTAGTCCTAGTCATAGTTATTACACCAACAGTGGGCCTTCCCTTCACTCATCCTCTTTTTTAGTTTCCTTTCACTCCATTTAAAGTTTAATTTTAATTTCCATTCACTTTCTGTTTTTTTTCAGGAATCATATATGACGTATGAAGATGAGCTGAGGCTGGTGGGGGAGCTAATCACTGTCATTGGAGCTGTAGTAATTTTGATCCTTGAGGTAAGAGAAACAGTGAGCTCTATAGTTTTGAGTTTCATCAGGACAGATTTTACTTACTAGACAGGCATGCGTTTGTGCTGACAACTTGGTAAGTGTTATTTGCTTAGTCTAAGTGCTTTGATATAGGTCTATGGAAATAGATACTGCCAACAGTATCTGTTGGATGAAACAGACTGTGATAATGTACTAGTAAGACTCCAGGTGTGGAAGAGGCAATTAGAAGGATTTGCTGCAATCTCAAATACTGTCTGCAGGGTAATGCCACTGTTCCTGTTAGCACCATCTGTGGATCCAGCTGAATCCCAGCTATTGCATCAGATTATTAGAGATTCTTCACCTAGCACCCTGAAATACTCATGTGTTTAAGGCTGCTGGATGAAGTGATTTCTGTGCATACACAGAAAAGTTTATGCTTAAGTGGAGATCAGTGACTGTGTGGATCTGTAACAGGAGCCTTACTCAGCCAGAGTTCAGAGGTAGATGTGTTTAGGTGTTCTTCTTACGAACTCTCTCAAACAAAAGGCAAAGTTATTTCAATGAAAACAAACACCTCTTCCACTTGATTTTATTATAATCTAAAAAAGAAGACTGAAACTTTTACATGCAAAAACTCAAATGATGATGCCAGGGAGAACTGAAATAATACAGGGCTTGTAAACAGGCTTTTCTTTGCCCATATCTGTTCTGGAAGGACAGGTACTTCTTCCTGTGCTTGGTCATGACTCTAGGACTATACTACAATTGACACAGTGAGAATTAGAACAAACTCAAGAAAGTCTTTTTGTCTTAAGTTCTGACTCTCAGCTGTTTGTCTGGTCTCTTGTCAGTAATCTATATGAACTTCAGGCTCATAGCTCTGTGCTGCAACATCTCTCTGCCACATACCGAAGTCTCTTGATCTGCACAAGTGTTCTTAGATTTTCCAGCAATCTCTGTTCTATCCCAAGAGTGGTCCACCTGACTTTTTTTAAAGTAATATAGAAATCAATCTGTGAATCAGCCAAGCAGATGCAGCTGGTCCCAAGATCCTGTGAATATTGGTGATAACCATGACATTTTATAGTATAACGGAATTCATCTGAGTCCTAAAGTGAATAGGATGTCTCTCTTAGATCCCAGATATCCTTAGAGTTGGAGCAGCAAAATACTTTGGACAAACCATCCTAGGAGGGCCTTTCCACATAATTGTGTAAGTACACTGCTTTTGAAGGATCTTATTTTCTTGCTCCATTCTTTCAGAGTATTCCTTCTCTTGATTTGCTCTATTGGCTTGGCTGCTGTGTAGGGAGCCAGTAGACATGTAGAGTTGACAGCGCTGAGAGTTCTTTGTCTCTGGGACTCATGGCTATATACATGCTTGTCTTGGAATTTTTGAAAATGAAACAAAAAGAAGGGTAAGATTCCTCTACTGAACTTTTTTTCACTGTGTCTTCTTCCTTTGCAGCATCACATATGCTTTCATGATTCTAGTAACCATGGTGATGCGTCTCACGAGCACAACTGGTGAGGTGGTGCCCATGTCTTTTGCCCTGGTGCTAGGATGGTGCAATGTCATGTACTTTGCACGAGGCTTCCAGATGCTCGGACCCTTTACCATCATGATCCAGAAGGTATAAGACACAAACGGATATGGGCTTATTACATAATGACACCTTTTTGCAGATAGGACTGCAAAGGACTAGTGTTAATAGCAAATGGACAAGCTTTTGTTTGAGCAGATGATTTGTGACTTTCACATTCTTTCTTTAGTGTGGAAGTTTTCTTTAGTCCACTCGTAGTCTTAGAATCCGGAAAATGGCTTACATAGGATTGTATGGTGACTTGGTGGGACAGTTGGGCCTTATGATGGTTCTGTCTTGGTTCTACAGATGATATTTGGAGATCTTATGCGCTTTTGCTGGCTCATGGCTGTGGTGATACTAGGCTTTGCATCAGGTGAGTTTGCAAAAGTAAACCAGCAATATCATAGAATCAACCAGATTGGAAAAGATCTTTAAGATCAACAAGTCCAACCTTTACCCCAGCTCTGCCAAGGCCACCACTAACCCATGTCACTAAGGGACTCATCTATACAGTTTGTGAACCCTTCCAGGGATGGTGACTCCAGCACTGCCATGGGCAGCCTGTTCCAATGCCTGAGCAACCTCTGGGGAAGAAATTTTTCCTAGTATCCAGTTTAAACCTCCCCTGGTACAATATGAGGCATTTCCCCTTGTCCTATTGCTTGTTACTTGGGAGAAGAGACCAGCCACCTCCATGTGGCCAACACTTCCATGTTAGTAATGCCCTGCCATCTTCTTCAGTATGAATGAAGTGTGTGGGTTTTGATTTGTTCTCAGGTCGTTCTCTGAGTTAGCTGGCAAAGGTGTTGATGGTGTATACCCTCTATTTCTTTGAGTATGGTCACTTTCCCAGAACTGACTTTTGTTCATGCAAGTTCAGTTCTGGATTCTTTCTCTTTCTAGGGTAATAGAAATTAGAACAATACATGTAATTCCACATACACATCTAAGTCGAGGTTTACATACATACTGCATTTATGATACTTGTCTTTGGAAAATGAAATTAACATTCATGATTAATTATGCCCTTGAAGAAAAGAAAATCCCTATTTTGAGAGCAAAGGCAATAAAATAATTCTGAGTAATTCTAGAATGAAGTCCAGTGATTCTAGTGAGAGATTTGTCTTTGTTATGCTGGGTACTGCACTAGCATAGAAACACATGTAGCTCCTTCCCAGACCACTTTTTGTTGCCAGCATCTCTTACAGGACTGTTGTTGCTCTTGGAATGTGATTCCTGTTGTTTAAACTTTCTCTCTTTTTTTTTTCTCCCTATTGCTCTCCTCCAGCTTTTTACATCATCTTCCAGACAGAGAACCCTGAGAACCTTGGACAGTTCTACAATTATCCCATGTCCTTGTTCACCACCTTTGAGCTTTTCCTCACTATCATTGATGGCCCTGCAAATTATGATGTGGATCTGCCTTTTATGTACAGTGTGGTATACTTTGCCTTTGCCATCATTGCCACGCTCCTTATGCTCAACTTGCTAATTGCCATGATGGGTGACACCCATTGGAGAGTGGCCCATGAACGGGATGAGCTCTGGAGAGCCCAGGTAACCTAGTTTAGGTGGAAAAGTGTTCACTTTTAATAAAGAAGGGGAAAAGTTGTCCAAGAAAAATGTGCTAGACAGCCCAGTTACTTACTCTGCCATCCATGCTCTTAAGGAGGTATTTTAAAACCTTTCCTTGGCCTTCACTTTTCTCAGGGGCGAATACAACAAGCCATGTTCTTTTAATTCTGTTTTACAGCTTCTGAACATCAGCCACCAACTTTCTTTTTTCCTATCTATGAAATTGAAGCGACTAAATGCAAGACTTTTCTTCATGTCTTCCCATGTGAAACTGTCTTACAGTATGTTTTTGCTCTGTGGGTATTCCCACCTTATTCCAAATAGCAGCTAGAAACCCATTCAACCTTTTTGTCCATTGTGTATCTTCCTAGCTCTTTGGTCATTACACATGAGCTCACTCGTTAAATTGAATTATAGTTACATCCTTTTTTATAAATCACATTCTGTGTAACTGAGAGTTCAATTATAATTCTAGGGATTGACTGAGGTTGAGAATGCAAGGTAATGATTGCAAGTAGGTCAGTAATATCTTTAGATCCATTAAGAAAAGTTGGTTTAACTCTTGCTCAAAAGACCAAAAAAAATCAATCAGATCATTTATATAGCTGCTCAGCAGAAAACCCTTTTCTGTGGGAAATCAGTAAGTCAAATGGTTAAATGTAGTTATGTGGCCATGTTGGTAAATTCTGATAACAATTAATGCATATATAAATACTGTTCTATTCTCTAGCTTACAAATTAATTACCCTACTCTTTGCCATCAGGAAAGATATTTAACAGTGTTTTAAGAGCACCATTGCTTCCTCAAAACATGTCACAGCTGTGACTAGCATTGTAAATTGCCCTATAATAGTGTTGACTCTGATTTTTTTCATTACATGTGGAGCTGTAATCAAGTATGGTAATGGATCAGTACTCCTGAAACTGGTCATTTTGAAAGAGTTTTTTCTAATTCATCCAAGTTCTTTCTTGGTTGCTTGTTTGGTTGATTTGGTTGTTGTTTTTTTTATTCTAAAGGTTGTTGCTACCACTGTCATGCTGGAAAGGAAACTGCCAAGGTGTCTCTGGCCTCGCTCTGGGATCTGTGGCCGGGAGTATGGGCTAGGGGATCGATGGTATCTCAGGTGAGTTCTCTTCTAGTGTGTGCCTTTAAGGATCCTAGAAGAAGAATCCAAGGTGTGGATGCTAATAAGAAACATAACAGGGATGAATGTCTAGGAGGTAATTGTATGATAGTAACTGCTAGTACTGTGCCTATAAAAGATTTCCTGATTCTGTGTAGATTTTCTGGGATGTCTATGTCAGTAGGCATATGAGAGGGGCTTGCTGCTTGTGGCTGCTTGGTTTTGTTGATAAACTGGCATATTTCTACTTCATTAAGTTCATCTTTTTAATCCTTTTACAGAGTTGAAGACAGGGTTGATCCCATCAAACACAAGATGATGCGGTATACAGAAGCATTTAAGGCTCAGGATAAGGATAACTATGACAAAGGTTTGGAAAAGCTGGAAATAAATAGGGACATCCTGTACAAGAAGGAGCTGCCTGCTCTCTCATTGTCACGGAGCACATCCAAGACTAGTTCTCACCGTGGCTGGGAGATCCTCAGGCGTAACACCTTCCACCAACTTCATGAGGAGGCTGGACATGCTATGGAAGAGGAGGTCTATAATGTCTAGGAGGCCTCTTTTTTTTTTTCCCACAACACAGAACACTTTTGCCACAGCAGTTGTCTTCTCCAGCTGTTCATACATGTTCCAGCATCCTACTCACATTCAGCCTTGAACAACTCTGCTGGTAAAGAGTTCATGCACATTTCATGGTGTCTATGCTATGATATATGAATGTCATCTTTTCTCTCCTACACTTACGTGTTTCTGCTCTTGCACTGATATTTGCACCATGCTGGTGGATTTGTTAAGCTAAGATCTGTGGTAGTTTTTTATGCTTTGTAATGCCCTACAGGACTGAACAAAAGAAGCCAGCAACAAGATTGCACCCATTTACAAAAAAGTGATCAGTAAGCCTTCTCCCAGACTGTTACATGTAGTATAATCTCTCCCTTCAGTTTCACAAAATTCCAATGTTCTCATAGGAAAGAGGGCTGACTGAAGTTCTGCTTTATGATTTGGTACGAAACTGAAAAAACCTCTGTAACTAAGCTCAGGAATGAAAGTAGTTACTGACATTGTGGTGACTGTAACTATACAGCTGGCATTCAGGGCCTGACAGATTTCGCCCTCTGAAGAAAAGCAGTCTCTACTAGCTGCATTTTCAGTACTACTATCCTAACAGGACTGGTCTGGTTTGCTTCTTTGGGTTTGTGTGTGTGTATGTGTGTGTGTGAGATTTTGTTTGATTGATTGATTGATTGTGTTGTTATATGACTGCACTTTAAGGTTTTGAAAAGAAGCGACAACTGCTATTCCTGGGAGGATTCTGAAGGATCAAAAGTGGGAACTTCTTTTCCTAATGAGAGCATGAATGACCTGGTTAGGTGACTTTAAGCAACATGACATTTCAGCAGAGCTATTTATCTCCCAAATGATCTCCCAAGTGATCCCAAAGCTAGTCTTTTGTTTTCTGTGGAAGAGTAGGATTCTGAACCATAGTTCTCTGACTGAGCCATGAAGGCTAAGTAGTAAGCTACAACATAGCACTGAAAGAAACGAAGGGGAAATGTTGGATAGATGAATAAGAGCCCTTGCAGAGGCAGCTCAGAATATGGTGTGTGCCATATCTGCCTCAGAAAGCCTGAAACTATCCAATAAACAACTGAGTCATCCACACAGTTCCTTTCCAGGTGATGCTGTTCCAGTTAGTCAGTTTGTCACCTGTCTACAGCCACTTTAAGAAAAATGGATAAATATTCAGAGAAATGGACTGTCATTTCAGGTTTTCTTACATTCTCAGGAGTGTGGCGTTTCATTCCGACAGCAGAAGTAAGTGGAAATCAATCCATGGTCTTCACATTTCCTTCCCACAGAACTAGTAACAGAAACTGTGTTTTTTAAGAAACCAAGGATTATTACCTAGCACAAGACTTTGAGCCATATCACCTTGTGAGAATGAAAGCAGACAATGAAAATGCTGAATCCAGTGGATTTCTGATTGTACTGAGATATCACAGCAAGCATCTCCTCCATGTCTCTTGCAGGTGCTGTAATGAGCATCATTATCTTTGCAATTATGTGGTTTTATTTAAATGCCCTGTTTCTTTTACTTGAATGTGTATTTATGCTTCAGTGGATGACTGGCAGAGGCTGTCTTTCTGGAATGCAACTACATGCTTTGAGTTGACTCGTTTTGTTGCATTGAAAGTTTTGCCTCGTCTTGCTCATTTAGGTATTGTCAGTCCTTCCCAAATCCTTTGGGGTTTGTACTGGTGGTCTCTGGAGATGGGAACAATGTGGTACATTAACCAGAACTGTGAATTGCTGCTGTAATTGTAGGTGAATTTTCTTTCATAGTGAACAGGAAATAGCAGGAAGAGGAGGACTGATGGCTTCCCCTTCCTTCCAAACCCCCAAGTATAGTAGTCTTCTCACTGATTTGAAAACCTGGAGAAACACAATTAAGAAGGAGCTGTATGTAGCCATTTCTACAAAAGGACTCCTCTTTGTGACGTAATAATAATAGTAATAATTTAAAAGCTAGTTTGAAATAGTATAAGATGTGTAAGCCTTGGTGCTGATTTTGTATTTTTCATTGCCATGAACAACATGAAGAATTTTGATCTTGGAACTCAAACCAACATATTGACATTGCAGGAAGCAGAACAAAACTCAACTGTGCTGTGTCTTTATAGATTTTTGTATCTGCTCTCCATAAAAATAAAGGAAAAAAATCTAGTAGCAGATAGTTTTAAGCAAGTGCTTTCTTTGTAATAGATTTCAAAATCTTTGCACAGAACAGCATTAGAACTGTATGATTTCTTTTCTGAGTTTTGAGTTGCCTAATGTAAAATAAGGTAATCATAGAATATTTTGGGTTGGAAGGGACCTTTAAAAGCCATCTTGTCCAATCACCTGCAGTGCGCATGGACATCTTCAACTAAATCAGGCTGTTCAGAACGCTGTCCAACCTGACCTTGAATGTCTCCAGGGATGGGGCATTTGCCACCTCTCTGGGCAACCTGTGCCAGTGTTTGACCATTCTCACTGTAAAAAATTTCTTCCTGACTGCTATTTGAATTGTTTTCCAGCTTCCTGAGGTGATGCATATGAAAAAAAAATAATCCTTGAAAAAGACCTTATACATAAGGAGACAGAATATCTTACCAATAGTAAATAATTCCCCAGACGTCTTCTGGATGGGTTGTGGTGCAAAATGTATTTGGCATAATTTATTAAATCTGGAGGATAAAGAGCTATAGAAGAAAATGTGAGGTGAGAAAAGTCAGCAGATATAATGGGCACACAAGAAGTTAGAAATATTAAATATAATATATAAATGTGGAATAGCAATTGTTTTCCATTAGGACATATACACGAGTTGTGTCCATGTGAACCTCAGATGATGAAGTAATAACAGACACTAGACTAACAGGAGGAGCTGGAAGCCACTGTACAGCAGGGAAGTCATGACATAATTGCCATCACAGAAATGTGGTGGAATGATAGGCATGATTGGAGTGCTGCAGTAGATGGCTACAGGCTCTTCAGAAGAAATAGGCAAAGAAAAAGAGGCAATGGGGTTGTGTTGTATGTCAGGGAGTGCATTAACTGCCTTGAACTCAATGGTGTCAGTGAGAATGCTGAATGTTTGTGAAGATCGAGGAGAAGGCCAACCAATCAGATACTCTGGTAGGAGTCTGTTTACAGACCACCCAGCCAGGATGAAGCTACAGATGTAGTGTTCTTCAAACAACTGGGAGAAGTTTCATGATCACTTGCCCTTGTTCTCGTGGGGGACTACAACCTAACAGATGTCTGCTGGAAGTACAGCAGCAGAGAACAAACAGTCCAGGATGTTATTGGAGGGTGTGGAAGACAACTTCCTAACCTAGCTGGTGAGTGAGCCAAATAGGGGAGATGCCTGCCTAGATTTGCTGTTGGCAAACAGAGGAGGACAGTCGGTGATGTGATGGTTGAGGCCCTCTTAGGCAAAGCCATCATGAAAGGAGTGAATTTTCAGTCCTTGGAGAAGTCAGGAAGAAGGTCAGCAGAGTGTCCACCTTAAACTTCTGGAGAGCTGACATTGGTTGGCAGAATTCCTCAGGAAACATTACGGAAGGACAAAGGGGTCCAGGAAGGCTGGGCGCTCTTCAAGAATGAAATCCTTAAGGTACAGGAGCAGGTGGTCCCTTTGTCCTGAAAATCAGCCCAGCAGAAATAGACCAGCCTGGCAGTGCTGGAACTCCGGAAAAACAAGGGAATCTATCACCTGTGGAAGAAGGGACTGTCACCTCATCAGCAGTACAAGGATGTTGTTAGGTTATGTAGAGGGAAAGTTAGAAATGCAAAGGCAGAGATGGAACTAAATCTGGCCACTGCCATCAAAATAATAAAAAGTACTTTTTCAAATACATTAGCAATAAAGGGAGAGCCAAGGAGAACCGCCATCCTCTGCTTGACACAAGGGGTAACCTAGTGACTGAGGATGAGGAGAAGGCTGAGGCACTTAATGTTGCCTTCATCTTACTCTTTAATAGTCACACCAGCCATTCTCAGGGTACTCATAAGTCTCCTGCTCCACTTGGACGCATGTAAGTCTATGCATCCAGAGGGGTTCCACCCAAGAGTGCTGAAGGAGATGGCAGAGGAGCTCACTGAACCACTCTTCATCATCTAGCAGCAGTCCTGGTGTAGTGGGCAGGTCCCAGGGAATTGGAGGTTGGCCAACATGATGTCTCCACAAAAAGGGCAGAAGCAAGACCTTGGGAACTACAGGTCTGTCAGCCTGTCCCAAGTGACAGGACAAGAGGAAACAGCCTGAAGCTGCTTCAGGGGAGGTTTAGACGGAAGACGAGGTGTTCAGGCATTGGAACAGGCTACCCAGGGCAGTGGTGGAGTCACCATCCCTGCAAGTGTTCACGTACTGTGTATGTGAGAACCTCAGTGACATGGGTTAGTGGCAGCCTTGGCTGTGCTGGGGGAATATTGGACTTGATGGTCTTAAAAGTCTTTTCCAACCAAGTTGATTTAATAATTCTATTATTCTGTGATTTGAGCTGCTTCAGTGCAATCTGGCTCAGACTTGGAAACAGCAATAACTACAGTTACACAAAAGCAAAGCACTTTTGCTGTAATATTCTGCATGAATGTGCACTTCAGGATTTGCTTCAAGTTTTTGCATTTTGTGATGCAGTCATATCCTAAAATTCTCGAAGTGTTGCTGCTCCTTGCTGTTGCAAGGTGTGTTTTCCCTCTCTCTTAACTAATATTGCAATGATTTTGAAGTAGATGTTCCTTCCCTCCTTGAAACTGCTAACCTCAAACTGTCCTCTACATTACTGAAGCAACTTCTGAGTTTATGATCATTAATGTCATAAGAATGAATGTTTTGATCCAGTTGCTTGTAGTAAGATGAGAAGTATTTTCCAGACAATAAAAATATGATATATATGGAGTATCTTGCCTGCTTCTTTGTGTCTAAAACAAAATGGAATGGGCCATTTTTTTGTATTTGTGTATCTGTTAGGAATCGCATCATACATGAGTTGAAAAATTGGATTGTCATGCTTGGGTCCATATTAATATTTTTAGCAATCCACTTCAGAAATCTCTTTATACAAAACTCGTAGAGAGTTTCAAACACTGAAATACTTGTTTCTAAATTGGAGAGACATCAGTTTGATAGATGGACCACTCAGTGGATAAAGAACTGGCTGGCTGGCTGCACACGAAGAGTTGTGGTCAATGGCTCAATGTCCGGCTGGAGACCTAACATGTGCTGTCCCTCAGGGATAGGTGTTGGGACTGGTCTTGTTAAGCATCTTAGTCGCTGACATGGACAGTGGGATTGAGTGCACCCTCAGCAAGTTTGTTGATGACACCAAGCTGTGTGGTTCAGTTGATACGCTGGAGGGAAGGAATGCCAGCCAGAGGGACTTAGACACACTTGTTGTATGGGCAGAGGCCAGCCTCATGCTGTTCAACCAAGCCAAGTGCAAGGTCCTACAACTGGGTTGGGGTAATCCCAGGCACAGCTACAAGCTGGGCAGAGAAGAGATTCAGAGCAGCCCTGCAGAGAAGGACTTGGGAGTGTAGTTTGATGAGAAAATGAACATGAGCCGGCTTCAGTGTGCACTTGCAGCCCAGAAAGCCAACCGTATCCTGGGCTGCATCAAGAGGA